TGACAAAAACTGGGAAGCAAATGGTTCAAAATTATGTTTTCCAGTGAGGACTAGAGTACCTATACTTTAAAAGTTAACAGAAGCACAAACAGACAACACTATGGTAGTTACCAGAGGGAACGGGGTGGGGAGTGGTAGAGGGTAAAGGGGACCAAATATATGGTGACAGATGATAAAATGACTATAGGTGGTGGGTACACAATGCAAAATACAGATCATGTATCATAGTAATGTATACTTGAAACCTTTATGACCCTATTAACCAATGTCACCTCAATAAGTTTAATTTAAAAAAAGAGGGGGAAAAAGTTAACTGAGCAAATGGTAAAATGACCAGATGTGTGTGAAAACTGAGAGGCCCAACCACAACTTCAGGCTGAACAGCATACCATCCCACCAGGCCATGGCAGAGAGCTGCAAATATGACAAAAGAGGTCATTTTATGACTGTTAGGTGTGCCTTTTATCTGTAATTATCTTTGAAAAACTGTCTTCCATTTTGCTTTGGGGACAATTTATACACATTTAGGAGCCAAAGTAAATTCCACCTGCCTGCCCTGGTAACAACAGAACCCACAGAAGTTTTCCAATTATCCAACACACCCTCAGTCCTGAGGCTCTGTCCCTCTTAACTTCCTATTCACTACATCACTGGCAGCCAAGTTGTTTTACCTATTCTCGGTGCCCAAGGGAAAAAGTTGGCCACAAAGGCCCAGACATGATACCCAATACCTTAATAGAGTAAGAAAAATCTCAAACACGTGCCACCCTGGTTCCTGCTTGAGATCTCTCTCCTCCATTCCTTTGTCTGACCTAGTTGGTAAAGTAAATCTAAAATATCTCAACCATGAAAACAGAAATGCCTGTGCTTTTCGTGTGTGTGTTTTCCTTTGTAGTATGATGCAAATGTGGTGGCTGAAATGGTACCTATTAGATGCCTGAAACAAATAATCACACAAATGGACACAACTGAAACCTCAACTCTGTACCAACACGAAGGCCCTCTGGTTTCCGAGCCCAGGCAGGTCTCAGTTGAGTAGATTGTAACTTGATCTTGTCGTAGGCAATAAGCAAGTACCACGTGAGATACGTCAAGAGGATATTATTTTTTGAAAGAATTATTTGATAAGGAAATGCTCTTACTTCTCACCCATCCATAAAAATCAGTTTATAGGAAACTACAAAACAAGTCATCAGTCACTAGAATTCTCTATAGACAGCAGGGGTTTAAAATGGAATCTTTGTGACCATGTTTCCATTATGCCTACTTCCCATGTTATAACACTCACCATGCATCATAGGTGTTGCTTATTTTAGGTCTGCCTTCCCCACCATGAAGACAGGAATCATCTGCCATATTTAACCACCACATCCATGGCGTTTAGTACAGAAGAAACATTTAAAATCTGCTGAATGAACTATCCAAAGAAATTAAGGAAAATAGGGTAAATATTTCTTTCTGCTGTTCTTCTTTACTTGCCCTCACGTTTCCCAGACTATTTTCAGCTTAACACCACAGTGATACCAACAGGGACATGGCTCAGTCCTACTCTCTAAGAATCACAGAGATCCAAGAGAAACCAAACAGAGAGGAAGAGGTATACTAATTCCAATCAGGGCTAGGCTGAGTCACATTCTTGCAGTTACAAGGAACAGATACACATTGGAGAGAACTTAAGCACAAATGGGCATATCCAGTAAGGCAGTGAGTATCTCTTGAACTCAAAGGAAGAAGCAAGGCCAGGTTTCTGGGGTTAGGAGGAAGATGAGGAAAAACCTTCAGCACCACTTGCTCAGGATTCTCTCCCGCTGGAACCAAGTGGTCCTTCCTCCCTCGTTCACACTTTCTTTTAAGCAGATCAGCTTTCACTGTTTCTTTAAGCACACAAATGCCTCACAGCTCGAGGGTTTACATGTTCCCAGCTCAAGGAACCAGCCTAGGCTGAGACTAGCATTTCCTACGTCAAATTCTAAATTCCTGGGAAAATAGATTGGCTCAGGGGCAAAGAGCCCTAACCAGGCAAGTCTGGTTTCTCCTGGCTCCCTCCTACAGGGGACATGGGAGTTCCTCAGAAAAGGCAGGGTATGAGGCCACCCCCAAAGCAGCGGTTGTGTTTGTGATCATGATGAGTTTGCTCAGCTTTCCTTTGTCTTCCACTCCCTCAAGTTCACCCAGCCTTATCACACCCTGCCTTTTAGGCCCACTCCCTAGCCATCAAACTTAGCCTTCACTAGTCATTCTTTCTCATCTAATGTCTTCCGTTTTCCTTCCCTCAATGCTACACAATATTAGTATCCTACCCAGAACATGGCAAATACTGTACTATATTTAAAAGGTGTTTTAATGGACAAAATAAACAAATAAGCCATTATTATATATATATATACAAGATATTTTGTTTTCTTCAGAATTTGAAAGGCCACTTACTGTATACCACTATGAAAACACAACATGGTCATGTCCACCTTGTGGTATCCATATCATAGCCTCCAGGTGTACTATACCTTTTCACTTATTTTGTAACTAATACTACGTAACTGTTATTTAAGGATAATATTGACTAACCTCTTATGATTGACTAACCTCTTGTGAAAACACCTTTCAAAAGAAAGGATTGCAAAACTAGTTTTGTTGGGAATTCAAAACTATTGCAGGTGTTCTAATTAACTGAAAATGTAGCATATTTCCTTATGCAATAAGATTCTGCCTCTCTCAAGTTAAATGAAACTTAAATTCATGCTCAGAGATGAGTTATTATGTTACTTGAATGCATAGGATTCCCAGGAACATAAAAGAGAATTTCAGGCCAATTATGAAGAACAGTGTCTTTTGTTCTTTTACCTCCCCATGGTAGTGGAACCATCCAACAGTAAGAGATTATAGAAATCATCTTGACCACATGTGCCTTGTTCATCTGCAAATCCTGGCACCTGGCTTGATGGTCTGTAAAGACTAAGTGTGCAGTAAATGTCTGATCGACTAGAATGTACTTCTACCTATGTATTTACAAATCAACACTATATATGCATGAGGCTTTACATGTGTTCATATAAATGTAAACTGCCACAAGACAATCTTTTCAAACTATGAGATGCATTCAAATCACCTAGGGATCTTTTTAAAATGCAGATTCAGATTCTGATTCAGAAGATCGGGGCTGAAACCCAATATTTGCATTTCTAGTAAGTTCTCAGGGTGATTGGGATGCTGCTGGTCCACAGGCCACATTTTAATATCCAACCAATTCCTTTCTACTCCCTGTAGTAGAACACCATAGGGAAACTCATCTTTACTAACAGATTCAAGTCTTCAATAAGTATTTATTTATTGAGCACCTAGGCCAGGTGCAGGAGCTACAACGGCCTCTTAGTCATTCTTGCATACAGCTAAATAAATGGCGAAAATGCAACTTGAGGCTTCTCTCTATTCTCAGTGATATTCAAATAAAGAGACCATTAGAGAATGACACTTAAATGTGTAAAGCTATTGCTTAGGATCCTGTATCTTCATGAGGTTCCTATTAATGTTCACCTCAAGTAGACGTCTTGCTTGTGATCCCCAAGCCCTCACCATTCTGCCCAGGTCTGCCTCTCCTCTGTCTTCACAGTCATGGAAATGACCAGTCTCTGGGGTAAACTTCAACTTTTTGGATTATAGGCCTTCTCCATCTCTTTCAGTGAGATGTTGTGACAAGTCTGATGAAATAGCAAGACCATAGATCAGACTGGTTCATACTATTTAAAAGTCAGGGGAAAATATCAATCAGAGAATTCCTTTCACTTTCCATTTACCTAAGCCCCCTTCGCAGCCTTGCGTATAACAGTGTCTGCTGGAGGCACAGCAGGTAAGGGGCGAATGTAAGTACTCAGAACTGCAAGAAATTTCTTCTTCACTAATGTAGGGTTGAGTACTTGGTCCAGCTCTGTGGTTACCATACAAAATTCTAAAGGCACATAAAACCTCAAAGATAATTTGAAAATCACAGAAAGCCATTACATACTTAATAATTCATTTGTTCACAAACAGGCAAATTGCTGTTTATGTTGTTATAATATTCTTTTGCCAGAGGCAAAAACTTAATCACATCTACAATTTAGCATGAATTTATTTTAGTTATATATTATGGCATGTACTTCTCAAACTGGGATACTTGTATCAAGGGAAAAGGTGCACACTGCAGCAAGCCAGAGGGTACATGAGCCCAAACAACAATTTTAATTAAGATTTGAAAAGGAATAAGGAAAATGTTTACTAATATAACTGATGATATATTTAAATAATGACTTTACACTAAAACAAACATGGAATAGGATGCCCAAACTTCATTAATTTTAACAATAAAACACTAGACTGAAAAGAAAGTTCCTATTTTGGAGAGCTAGCTCCTCTCTCCCTGCAGGGGAATGGCTGCCAGTGTAAGAATCTAAGTATTAGTCACATCTTTTTTGAAAGATATTTGAAAGATTTGCTATTTATCAGTGCAAGGACATATTTCTCACATAAGATCTTGGGGAAATGAGGTTGACTTTTATTTAGAATGTTTCAATCTCAAGCAAATCCTTTTAAGAACTGAATGCTCAATGTTGAATGTCTTGAATTTTAATAAATAATATCAATGCAAGAACAAATTTACTTCACAAATATAATCACTGGACAAAATTTTGAATCGTCTAAGGAAGTACATTACAAAAAAGTTCAACAAAATGTTAGTGAACAGAGGGAGACTGCTATAATTACAGAGTCTATATGCTGTAGTCCCTCTTCCACTAATCTTATTCAGAAACTATGCATATATAGTCAATTTTGGAACAAATTTTTTATTTTACATACTGAGAGCTTTAGACAATCTAAAGTGATTTTCTATGGTACTTTCCATTGCCATGATAATCCCAACCCTCAGGCATCACTACTCAAGAAGAAAATACAGAGAAAACAATTTCAGAAGGAAGGGGAGTTGGGGTCAATATTTGCTTTTTTGAGACAGAAACCCAGATACTTACAAGGCATCATATGGTATATGCTTGGCCAGTATTGTCCTCTGTCTCTTTTTAACCATACTCGAACTGTCCTGCAACAAAAGAAAGTATGTTTTAAAATAACTATTTTTAGTCATAGAAAAATTTTGATAGAAACCAAACCTAATTATATACACATATAACATATCTTAACATAATTAAGACATAATATATCTTAACTTATTAATATATATCTTAACTATATATATAAAGTATATATATGCACATAAATGCATGTACACTACATATGCCTCTCTAAAGATACTAAATTCAAGGCTTCTATACATTAAGAATTATATAGACTTTTGAAATATGATTCTCATATATGTCTATATGCACACATGTAATGGTGATAGTGTATGAAAATTATTATTTTTGATGTTGTTTTGCCCCTCTGTGTTGATGATTTTTCCCTAGTCTGCTGGAAGCATTCAGCTACCTAGGAGCTAATAGGTTTTACTACTGAAAGAAATGCACAAAGATAAAATGAAGCAAGATATAGCATTTAACACAGAGAGAAGGATTACATAATAAATCCATAGTCTTACAGGCCAGGTCAGGCCATTGTCTCGAGAGAGAGTTTTTCCAAGCATGCTCAGGCAATTGTGAGCTCTGAGAATAACAGTCGGGCCTGCCATGAAACAGCGAAATGATGTAGCAAAGACTGTGAGTGATGTTCCAGGCCAGTCAACCAGATAGAGTTCAGAGAGAAGGAGTAGTCAGGGAAAGAAAGAAGTAGTCAGGGAATGGGCCATTGGGCTCTGACCAGTCATAAAAGCCCCATCATGAGTTACATGAGCCATGACATCATATGCACAAGTTGGCAAGGCAAACACAACTAAGAGGTAATGGGACAATGCTCCACAGACGACAGGAAGTAGCAGATATCAAACAAAGAGAAATGAGCAGTTCCTCACTGCTAGGAGATCATATATGCCACATCTACACTCCATACTCATAATCCATCCAAGGATAAAAAGCAGACAAAGAAAGAGTATTTTTTTCTCTGAGAGTTGGACACTACCTAAACAAACTATTTATGTCATCTTACTAAACAGACTAAGTTTCAAATAGTATTGGATTTTTTCCCACCTAATCAGTAGGTCACCTATAAGAAGTATTAGGAAAAAGACTAGACTGACTACAAACAAAATAAATGCCATTTTCTCTGTATAGCCACAAGATATACTGTAGTGATATATAGTGACAATACGTAAACGTGCAAAATTTCTTCCTTTTGGTCAACTATCTTAATTTATGAGGACAGACATAATGATAAATAATTTGTAAGAAGTTACTCAATACATATACTATTTATACACATACCAACCCTCACTTAAAATCTTTTTACAATATATGCCCTTACATTAATATGGAGATTATTACCTCAATAAGAATAAATGCAGGAACGACATCATAAAAAATGGCACAGTGGTAAGCCCCAGAAATCAAATCCTACACCAAATCAACTGTTGAGCTGGCAAGTACTGTCAGAATCACTATTCCAAAACTCTCAAGTCTAGTTAAATACTCAAACGACACAAGGGAATGCTTGATGAAGAAAAAAGCTGGTATATCAGTGAATTTCATGCTTTGCTAGCAGCTACCATCATGCATGCACCATCCATGTAGCAGGCAGTTGTGGGGACAGTGATTAACAATCAGAGTGGCTTGCTGGTACCAAGGTGGGAACCCTACACTAACTAAATATGGGGATGTGTGTTGTGATTTGCCTAGCAGTTCATTGAAAGGTTAGAGAAGAGACTGGCCATTGTTTGAATCCCGAAGGGCTGAAGGGCTCCAAGCAATGTCAGTCAAAAGAATTTAAAATGACAGAAAACCCTCTTTCTCCTTTATGAAATCCAGGCATCAAAAAAAACACAAAGATTTCAAGATGGCAGTGTAATAGGTCGAAGCTACACTCACCTCTTCCTAAGACAAAACTGGAATTACAACTAAATTAAAGATCATCCTGAATAATGAACTGAAGACTAGGTGAAGAGGAGCCTTATAACCAAGGATTTACAGAAGAAGCCACCTCGAGACTGGTAGGAAAAGCAGAATTGAGAAAATGGCTAGCTTAGCTCCCACAAGCAGCAGCTGAGGTTCCAGAAGAATATCTCAGCTACAGGAGGCTCCCTTGAGAAGAGCGGGACCTAAACCCAAAACTGGTGCTTCCCAGCTCAGAGCACCAGAGCCAGGAACAGGCTCCCACATAACATGCAGCTGTGAAAAGCAGTGGGGTTTCTGTCCACAGGAGGGGGTTGTGGGGGGAAAACTCAGCTGCAGACACAGACACCCTCTTAAAGGGCCAACACACACAATTGCGTTTGTAGTCACTCACCCTGGGCTCTGGTGGAGAGAGGGCCTGAGGAGAGGCTGGGGCTTGTACCTCTTGGGAGGGAGCTGAAGGGACAGTGTCCAGAAATCCCTGTGCTGAGTCATTTGCCATACCACAGATGCCATCTTTCTTGGGCAGAGGACTCCCCTTCGTGTGGCACCAGCTAGGGGGAAAGCAACTGGCCCACACTCTGGACTCCCTCTTGCTCTACCCTGTGGAGCTTAGGCCCTACTGAAGAGTCAGTTGCCTTGGCCAAGGTGTAGAGGTCTGGACTGACTTGGGGTGTCAGTGACAGAGTTGTCTGGCTTTGGAGAAGGGGCCATACCTCCACTTTCCCATGAAGCTGACTGGCACTTTCCCCATACAGGAGATCCAACAGAACCACACTACTGGCTTCAAGCAGAACCAACCTCCAGGATCTGGAGGCCCCACCCACCTGAATACTAGTGGTTCGCCTTGCCAAGGTTGAGGCAAAATCCAGGAAAAACTGAGTCAAGAGACTCTGGGGCTGGGATGACACCCATACCTTCCCTGAAGCCTGACTGGCCCCTCTCTCTCATGGGAGATCCACGAATACCATTCTCCCCATTCCTCCAGAGGCCCTTTCATTAACTGAGTCTAACAAAAGCCAGCAGGCGGTGGCAGGGTTACATGGATCACGGTGCCTTGAAACTTGCTGAGCTGCCCCTGGGCCCAGTACTGGAAAAAGCCAGCATTTGTGTGCAGGTTGGTCCTTCCCACATGCATCCAAGCCCAGCAAAGGCAGCCACAAACTGTGAACCGCTTTGTAGCTCAAACAGGTTGCCAAGGGCCAAGCACAGACAGCATCAGACATTGGCATTCACCAGAGTCCCACCCAAGACACCCAGAAACAACACACCCAGTGGCCAATTTCAGACAGCATCACAGCAAGATCCAGTAAGCCTCACAAACAGCATATCCAAAACAAAATATTAGCAGGCACCAGACTCTCCTAAAGTGAATTCTGCTTCATGTGGTCATGACCTGCACAATAGCTCACATGCCATGATTGGGGCTGAACTTCAAACAAAGCCAGCCTAGGGGTCAACCCCACACACGATAGCAACTGCGATACTGGCCAATAGCAATCAAGACTCAATTACACCAGAAGGGCCCACATAAACCACGAGGGACATTCCTAGAGCACCCAGCTCACATGAACAAGAAGACTGCACCACTAGGTACCAAAGGACACCTACAACATAAGGCCACCACATGAAGTTAGGGAGTCATAGCAGATCTATCTAGAATCAAACACAGAGAGGAAGCAAAAACAAGGAGACAAAGAAACACTCCCCAAGTAAAAAACAGGAGAACTCTCCAGATAAAGAGCTAAAAGAAATGGAGGCAAGCATATTATCAAATAGAATTTGAACTAAGGATTAGAAGGATACTCAAGAAACTTAGTGAGAACTACAACTACAACAGCATGAAAAAGGACACAGAAAACATGGGGGGCGGGGGGGGGACAGTAAGAGCACGGCCAAGATGGCTCAGAAGTTGAGCATCGACCTATGATCCAGGAGATCCCAGTTAAATTCTTGATCAGGGCACATGCCCGGGTTGCAGGCTGGATACCCAGAGGAGGGGTGCAGGGGGCAGCCAAACGATGACTCTCTCTCTCATCACTGATGTTTCTATCTCTTTCTAAAATCAATAAAAACATATTTTAAGGGAATAAGGAGGAGGAAACAAGATGGCAGAATAGGTAACAGCTGCACCCACCGCATCCCACAACCACATCAAAATTACAACTAAAATACAGAAAAACCATCACGCAGAATCTACTGAAATCTAGCTGAACAGAAGCCCTACAACCAGGGAACTGAAGAAGCATCAATACCGGTAGGAGGGGCAGAGACACAGGTGGATCGGGGCTGGATCTCGGAGACTCCGCCAAGGGCCCACACCTGGTGCCACGGTTTAAACCTGGATGGGGATAACTTGGTGCTGGAGGTTTCTCGGAGGAGCGAGGGGTCCCAGCTTTACATTAGGCCCCCAGCCCATGGCTCCAGGGCCAGGAAGAGAAGTCCACACAAATTTGGGCTGTGAAAACCAGTGGGGATTGTGGCTAAGGGACGCAGAGGCTGCGGGAGTCCCAGGCAGCTCCTCTTAAAGGGCCCGCACACCGACTCAGATGTGCTCCCTCTGAGGCCCAGGGCCGGGCAGCAGCTTGAAAGAAACCTGGGACACTTGGGGAGGAACTAACCTGCCTGAAATTGGGGCAAGAGGTGGAGGGGCAGCTTTCTCCCAGATAGAAGAGCCGGCAGAGGCCATTGCTCCTTTGGCGAATCCTGCCTGCACACAGCCAGCAGGCAGGCACTATATTTGAATCTCTAGCACCTGACACACCTTTGGCCCCGCCCTGGTGATTCCTTGAGGCCCCACCCCTCCATACCTGCAAGCTCATCCAAGCCATTTCCAGTGGCTTTTCTGTGCAAGTGGTCTCTCCAGCCTTATGCTTAGGACTTCCCTAAAATCTCTCAAACAAGCAGCAGGGCCCCATACAGCTTGATAAGTGGCCCCAGGCCTGGTACTAGTGGCAGCCTGCATTGGTTCATAGCTTGGCCTCTCCTGGACAATGCCAAGCCCAGCACAAGTGGCAGCCAACTACAGTTTGTGGTATAGCTCATGCTGGGTGGCCCCGGGCAAGGAACTGGCAGAGGCTGACTTTGCACCTCCGGGGAGGCC